TGGCTTCATTTATTATTTTTATTTTATGTGCATGAGTGTATTGCTTGCATGTATGTGAGTGCACCCACATCGTGCAATGCCACAGAGGTCAGAAGAGGGCTTTGGATTCCCCTGTAACTGGAGTTAAGGACGGTTCGTAGGCACCATGTGGGTGCTGGGAATCAAACCCGGCTCCTCTGCAAGAGCAGTCAGTACTCTTAACCGCTGAGCCATCTCTCCAGCCCCAAACTATTAACTCTTAAAATTGGAAAATACTATCAATTTGTTTTCATTATAACTAGCTGCTTAGCTGATGTGTAAACTGACCTTTTTTTGTTTATTTGTTAATTTCTTTTCTGATATGGATACAAATAACCTTTAATATTCCAAAACAGATTTAACATGCAGAAACTCCAACTTACAGTAAATCCGTGTGGCCCTCCATCTTTTATGTGGTAAATTCCACTACCAGCTTGAAACAGAAATGTTCCACTTCCTGGGTGATAATCGTAAGATGCAATTCCCACTGTTCCAATGCGTTTTCTTTCTCTTAAGAGCTCTTCCTCTCGAGAATACATCCCGTAGTCCAGTGTTGCCTATGAAAAAAGGAGAATGGCCCATTCCAGTCATCTGAGAACCTGCCTTTGCTCTTGCCACCACATTCCTAGCATGTCTAATATGATTAAGCTTACATCTTGAGTTACTCAAAATTTGAAGCAACTTTAACCAGATTAATTTGAGAAAGTCTTCTGAAAGACTTCTGAACCATTTAATGATTACATTAGAGAACAAGAATAAAGTCCCATCATCTTAGCAGGCAAGACCTTCTGTAACCTAGCAGTATAAACACAGTTACAGAGCAAAGCTGTAACTTTGTAGTAGGGAGCAACCACAGAGCCTGGCACAGTCTAGGCAAGCCAAGAGAATAGATGTGTTATGTGTATGTGTGTCACTGCCTAGTCTCAAACTCCTAATCCTCCTGCCCTCCCAAGTGTGGGATTACAGACATGCTTCACCACTGGGATTATTGTACTGGGAATAGAACCCAGGGCTTCATGCATGGTAGGCAAGTACTCTACTAACTGAGCCACATCCCCAGCCTGTATAAAAGTTTTGAAGAAAAGATTACTATATGCCATAGTGGGTCAGGAATCTTTGCTGGCTAAAGTCAACCTTAAGCAAAATTAGGGTTAGGGGGAGTAAAGCTTAGATATGTAGAGAAAAAAGATTTAAAAAACCAGCACTGTGCAGGGGAGAAGCATTGTGAGACAAAGAGCAGGAGGCAGAAAATCATGTATTGAATTTTCTGGCGGTGTTTTTTGTGTTGGGGGTTGTACCAAGTGCATACCAAGGCACACTGGGTTTTAAGTCAATGATGTGCCCACTTTCACTGAAACTTTATTACCAACAGTACTGGTACATGAAATAGAAAGGAAGTAATAACAACATTTGAGAATTTTGTGCCAAACACATTTTTTTATCAAGCTTGTCCTCAAGGGTATGTATTTCAGTGGCAGAGTACTTGCTATAAAAAGATATTATAACTGCAATTATTTTAACTTTAGAATTATGAATTTCTTCAGAACTATATTAAAAATACACAAGAAGAAAGCTAGGTGGGGTGGGGCATGCTGTTAATCCCAGCACTCAGGAGGCAGAGGCAGATGAAGCTCTGTAAGATGAAGGCCAACCTGGTCTACATAAGTTCCAGGCCAGCTGGGGCTACAGGGAGACCCTGTCTCAAAAAGACCAAAAAAAAAAAACTTAAAAAAAAAATATACAAGAAGACATGAAAATATTTGGTCTTTTGGACAGGCAAACAAAACAAACTGACAACAACAGGAACTAAACCAAAACAAGTTCTAATACTAAAACCAAACAAGAAAGCAAAGATATAAAGGGAAAGACACCCCAGGTGCATGACTAAGAGACAGAGTCAATGGAGTGCCTATCACCATTTCAAGGGCTTCTTCTCCAGATATGGACAAACCAATTATCACAGCATTCCAACCACTATGGAATTGTAAGAATAACCTAAACAATGCTGAGAAAGAGCAATGTTATAGGACTCACACCATCTGGGCTAGAGATGTTAGTAATTTACAGAGAGAAATGCAAATGGTTGTCAATTGTATAGAAAAGATGACTAACTTTTGCCTATAAAAAGAAATGCAATTTAAAATTGTACCAGGATTCCATTTTCCATCTATGAGATAGGATACCATATACTATATTGAAGAGTTTGGGGACAAACCTTTTCACCTTGCTGGTGCAAATTCAGCACAGCATAGGTCCCATGGCAAGAAATTGGTACTATCAAATTTGTAGTAAAATTTAAAAACATATAGCTTTTGGTCTAGCAATCTCATTTCCAAGAATCTGACTCAGAGACACATTGGCAAAACTATAAAATATTGGCATGACCAAGCTATTTCCCCACAGTACTGCTTGTAGCAACTGAAAGTCCACTGGGCGGGAAATGGTTGAATATAGCTTATCTACATAATGCAACATGGATGCAAAAATAAATATAGATTACAAATATATTCTTAATAGATCTGAAGGTTAACATGTTAACTAAAAATTGCTATAGTGGAAAAAAATGTATTATTGCATGTTACTGTTTACCTAAGGAGTGAGACTATGAATATTTATGTACTTGCATTTTTTAAACATTTTATTATTTTTATTTTATGTGTATGAGTATATTGCGTGTATGTGTGTAAGCGCACCCGTGTCATGCAATGCCTGCGGAATCAGAAGAGGGCGTTGGATCCTCTGGAATTGGAGTTACAGATGGTTGTTAGCAGCCATGTGAGTGCTGGGAATTGAACCTGGATGATTCTCTGCAAGAGTAGCCAGTGCTCTTAACCACCGAGCCATCTCTCCAGCCCCCCATCTTTTATAATTTAATTTTTTAGTCTCCTTTCCTTAAACTTTCTAGCAATGCTATTCTCACATTTTGGGGTAATAAGATGTTGATATATTTCCAGAAAGATAATGATATATTGATATAATGATAATGATAAGATAATAATATATATCATTATGTTGATAATGATATATTTCCAGAAAGATTCTTTTTAAATCTTTCCATTGAATTTGTAGTTCTTATGCTTAATTACAGCACTAACATAAATAACAGTATGAAGTTCAGTTTTCGCTTCTAAATAATACATTTCAATTTAAAAATCAAGGCTTAGAGGTTTTGTTTTTGAGACAGGGTCTTATGTAGCCCAGGCTGCCCTGACACTCTATGTGTAACTGAGGATGAGCCTGAGCTTCTGATCCTGTGTCCACTTCCCAAGTACTAAGATTCTAGGCATGCACCACCTACCCAGTTTAAAGCTAGTATTTCATGGGGGCTAGAGAGATGGCTCAGCAGTTAAGAACACTGGCTGTTCTTGCAGAAGACCCAGGTTCAAATCCCAGCACCCACATGGCAGCTAACAACTGTCCGTAGTTCCAGTTCCAGGGGATCCAACAGCCACTTCTATCCTCCAAGGGCCTTGCATAACACAGGTGCACTTTACCTACATGTAGGCAATACACACATAAACATAAAATAAAAATAATAAACAAAATATTTTTTTAAAAAGCTAGTGTTTTATTAGTTGGCTGATTTGTTTTCCTCAATATTTTATCTTTAGATAAAGAAGCATAATTGAAAACCTCCCAAGAACAAGATTATGGCTTGGATACAACTTTTTGCCTTTTTGGCTCTCATGTATTAGCTTTACATTGAGAATTTCCTTATTAAATAGCGTGTTTGGGCTAAAATGAACCAAGAACTTCTTATAAAAAAAAAAAAGCAACATATGACAACTAATCTTTTTTTTTTTTTTTTAATGAGACAGGGTCTCCCTGTAGTCCCAGCTGGCCTGGAACTCGATCTGTAGACCTGCCTCTGTCTCCTCTGGGACTGAAGATGTGTGTCACCATGCCAGACAACTAATTTTGATTATAAATGCTTAGCTCAGATAAACATAGGCTTTTGACTTTTGTTTACATAAAAACAAAATTCCTTGGGATTAGGGGTATAACTCAGTGGTAGAGCACTTGGCTAGCATACATAAGGCCTTGTGGTGGTTTGAATGAAAATGTCCCCCATAGGTTCCACGTATTTGGACATTTTGTCCCCAGATGATGGCGCTGTTTTGGGAGGTTTTAAAAGCTGTGGCTTTTAAAGGAAGGCTTTTGGAGGAAGCACATCATTGTGGGTGGGCTCAGAGAGTTCTTAAGCCTTGCCAGATCTCCAGTTGCTCTCTTGATTCCTGTGCCTGTGTGATGATGTGAGAGCTTAGCTTCTGCTGCTCCTGCTCAGGTCACCTCCAGCCAGCATGCCTCCCTGCCATAATGGACTGTAATTCCCCTGGAACTGTAAGCTCAAACTCTTCCTTCTATAAATTGCTTGGGTCAGTGTTTCTATCACAGCAACAGAAAAGTGACTAATACAGGCCTCAACTTCAATCCTTAGTACCAAAGAACAACAGGCAAAAAAAAAAATCCTCCAAATCCTTGTTCCACTAAGAATAGTATATTAAACTGAAATAATTGTAAATTTTTTCAAAGCAGAGTTTTCAAATTAATAGAAAATTCTTAGCTAGTCCTGGTGACTCAGAATTGTAATCCCAACACAGGCAGCGGAGGCAGGAAGGCTGCCACAAGTTCAAGTTCAAGGCCAGCCTGGGCTATGTAGTATATTTTGTGTGTGTGTGTGTGTGTGTGTGTGTGTGTGTGTGTGTGTATGTGTGTGTGTGCTCAGAAGGCATCTGAACCCCTGGAGCTGGAGTTACAGCTGATTGTGAGAAACCCAATGTAGGTACTGGGAATTGAACTTGGATTCTCTGGAAGAGTGGCAAGTATGCTTAACTGCTAAACCATCTCTCTAGCCTCTTAAAATTATTTTTTAAACTTAGGGAAATTGGGATGAGGAAATAGCTCTGTCAGTAAGGAGTTTGCTTTGTAAGCACAAGGACCTTAGTTTGTTCCTTAGAATCCATATACAAAAGCCCATGGTGGTGCTGCTCACATTCAATGTGAGTCTTTCCCTTCAGTAAACCTTTCTGAAAACACCCTCACAGACATACCCAGAAGTATGCTTCCATGGTGATTCTAAATCTTGTCAACAATTAAGATTAACCATTACAGAGACAATTTATTATTCATTTATTTATTAACAGAAGTGCTTGTGCAAATAGAAACTTATGTTCTTTGGTTACTCTAAGGTCGTTTTCTAGGGAAAGGAAGGATCATGTTTAATTCTCTTTATTTTCCACTTTTCAAATAATGGATTCATTTAATAGAGCCATCCATAACTGATTAGGATTATTTGATTTTTTTAAAATTATTTTTTTATTTTTTATTACTGTGTGTGTTTCTGTATGGATGTCAGAGGACAACTTTGTGGGTTCATCTCTCTTTATGGGGGTTCTGAGGATCAGGCTGAGATTATCAGGCTTATACAGCAAATACCTTTAAGCACCTTACCCACTGAGCTATCTTGTTGGTCCAGATTTTTTTTTTTTTAGTATCTTATGAATTGATAGATCTAAACCTCTGACCCACTGAAAGTTATTGCTCTTTAAAAATTTTTTTTCAATTAAAAAAATATTTTTATTATCGTTTTTATTTTATGTGTATGAGTATATTGCCTGCATGTATGTGAGTGCACCCCTGTTGTGCAATGCCGCAGAGGTCAGAAGAGAGCTTCAGATTCCCCTGGAACTGGAGTTAAGGATGGTTCATAGTTGCCATGTGGGTGCTGGGAATCAAACCTGGGTCCTCTGCAAGAGCAGTCAGTGCTCTTACTGCTAAGGCATCTCTCTAGCCCCAAAATTTTTCAATTTTTATTTTACATGTACGAATATTCTGTCCACATGTATGTAAAATGCAACAGTGTCATGCAATACCTGCAGAAGCCAGAAGAGGATGTTGGCTTTCCTGGAACTGGAGTAATGGATGGTTGTTAGCTGCCATGTGGGTGCTGGAAGCTGAATCTGAATTCTCTATAACAGCAGCCAGTGCTCTTAACCACTGAGCCATCTCTCCAGCCCCTTATTACTTTTAAAAAAAAAAACTTTTACATTTATTATTTATTGTATACGTGTACAGGTGCATGCATGCACATGCAACAGCACATGCAGCACTGTGTTGCAGTAAGAGGCAACTTACAGGAATCAGTTCTCTCCTCTTACCATGTAGGAACTGAGGATCAACCTCAGGTCATGAGGCTGGTGGGAGGTGCCTGTACCTGTGAAGCCATCTTGCCAGCCCCTCAGTTACTATTCTTTACCATACAGATTTTTAAATTTTGAGCCAGTTGATATTCCTTATCCTTGATGATCTTGAGAATATTTGATACATCTCATCTTTTGTCGTTATGGCAGTGTTCTGCACTTGTTTTATGTTACCGGCTCTGTGGTTTGAGTCAGCAAAATGGCATTGAAAGATTATGGCCTGGGTCTTTGGGACATTCACAGTTACTGGATTAGCAATGGCTTCCCAGTCCTTTCAGGGGGGGTTACAAGCTGGGGAAGACCTAGTCTGTGCGTGTTGAAAACAGAGGTGTCAGAAGCTCATCAGTTCAGATAAAATATATAAGTGCATAAAATATATATTTGTAAGCCGGGTATGCCGGTGGCACACTTTTAATCCCAGCACTTGGGAGCAGGTCAGCTGGGGATACAGGGAGACCCTGTCTCAAAAAGACAATATGTCTGTGTGTGTGTGTGTGTGTGTGTGTGTGTGTTTGTGCTCTCTTCTGACCTCTGCAGACATGGCACCAATTGGGTGCACCTACCCACATACAGGCAATATACTCATACACATAAAATTAAAAAAAAAATATATATATATGCATTATATTCATGCCTATAATCCCAGCACTCAAGATGCAGAGGCAGGAGGACTACCACAAGTTCCAGGCCAGCCAGTGCTATACAGTGAGATCATGTTTTAAAAACAAATCAAACAAAACACATCATCATCATCAACAACAACAAATTGAAGGCTAGAGAGATGGTTCAGTGGGTAAAGGTACCTGCCAGCTACAAGCCTGATGACCTGACTCCACTCCCTAGGCAGGACCCACATGGTGGAAGGAAAAAACCAACTCCTACAAGTTGTCCCCTGACCTCCATACATGCATTGTGACATGTATGTATGTACCCCTTTCCCAAATAAAAAAAAAATATTTTATTATTTTTTTTAACTTTAAAAAAATTTATTGAGAATTTCATACATGTATATAAGGTGTTTTGATCAAAACCATGCCCACTCCCTCCCCTCCAACTCCTCCAGTATCTCCCCATCACTTTTTCCCGAACAACTTCGTGTACTCTTTATTTTTTTTTTTAATGGGGTTTTTGCTAATCTAACATTCCCATCTCTGAAGAGGGAACCCTAAAATCTTTTAGGGATTAGGTAAGTGCTCCCAAATACTTTTGACATTTTTGGCCTTTGGAACAAAGTATGTTGCTAAGAGGCCCAAGGACATTTTGACTTTTAAAACACTGAATTACAATATCATGGGTTTTGAATAGCAGGAATTAAATGTAATTTAATATAAAAATAGTGAAATAGTTAAAATCCTTTTCATTCACATCTACTTCAAATATAAAACCCCAAATGAATTTCTGTATTGAAATAAATGAAGAAACACAGACCAAATCATAGGAATAAGAATAGTTGGTCCTACCTGAAAAAGATCCAGAAGAGGCTTCCAAGAAAGCATTAAGACGGCTGCTCTGTTGATCGTTTTAGGAATTTCAGAGTAAAACAGTGTATTTTCTCTGTTCTCACCAGACATGGCTATGAAAAAAAGAACCAGTATTATTTTTTGAATAGTGTCCTCAGTACTATCATAGTAATGAATATATAATGTCTTCCACATATCACGTTTTCCATTCCAGATGATCCAAAATGATGTTAATAAATAGGATATATACATGCCTCATGCCTTGGATTTTCTTGAATAAAACAAGGTTTCAGCAAGGCTTGGCAGTGCATATGCACCTATAATCTCCGAGCTCAGGGGTAGAAGCAGGAGGATCAGGAATTTGAAGTCAGCCTGGGTTAAGTGAAACCCTATCTCAAAAAAAAAAAAAAAACGGAGGAAGCTGGATATAGTGGCGCACGCCTTTAATCCCAGCACTTGGGAGGCAGAGGCAGGTGGATATCTGTGAGTTCAAGGCCAGCCTGATCTACATAGTGAGTTCTAGGACAGCTGGGGCTACAGAGAGACCCTGTCTCAAAAAGACCAGAAAAAAACAACCCCCCCCAAAACACAAGTCACCAAGGTTGAGATGGACATGGTGACACATGTCTATAATCTCAGCCCTGAGGACAGTAGTTTGTTTCCTTCTGAAGTAAAAAGTTAGACATTACCTGACAATTCAGTACTTCATTCTGTCAAGCCTACTTTGTGCTTTCTAGAGCTGTTCATAGAATTACTAAGATTATATTCAGCGATCCCTACCAGCCTGGGCTACAGAGGTGAAACCCTGTCATAAACAAACCATCTTGGCCTTCTAAGAGCATTCAGTCCCCAAATCTTAAAAGAAAAAAAAAGACTGTTTTAGGGGCTGGGGTGGTGCTAGTTGTACAAACCTGACCACCCAAGTTCAACACCCTAAACTCATAAAAAGCCAGCTGCTGCAGCTCACAGCTGTCATCCTAGAACTCCTAGGTAAGATGGGGAAGGCATGAGAACCACCCAAAAGCTGGAGGGCCAGCTAGACCCAAGTGTGCCCACAACAGCAGAGACAAGAGACCTGTCTCAACAAGGGGGAAGCAAGAAATGACTCCTGAAAGTTGTCCTCTGATCTCTACTTAGGTCATGGACACGGACACGGACACACACACACACACACACAAATGCAGTAAAAAATTTTTAATGTCAGGAAAAAGGCTAATGATACTACAAATTACAAAACCACAGATTTAAATGGAGAATAAATTTTAAATTTGGGCTCAAAAAAAGGAATTGAACAATGAAAAGGTATTCAATGTTAAGCTCAAAACATTTTTAAAATGTCAGATTTCCCCTAAATGTATCTGTAAATGTAACACAGTCCTAAAACAACATAAATAGGATGGTGAGAAAAAGAGCTATCCAGCTCATTTTAAGTCCTTATAAAACAACAAGCAAATAAGTCAAGAAAAGGAGGAGCAAAAGTGCTAAAAGAGGCCAAGCGCTACCATGAAGCAAAATACACAGAGCTAAAATTACAGTATTGGCATCTGACTTGATGGATCAATGAGACCACGTTCAAACCCAGATCCATATATTTACACATGGAAAGTGACACAATAAAAGTAGTCTGCCTGTCTTTCTCTCTCTCTCTCTCTCTCTCTCTCTCTCTCTCTCTCTCTCTGTCTTTTTGAGACAGGGTCTCCCTGTAGTCCCAGCTGGCTTGGCACTCACTATGTAGACCAGTCTGGTCTCGATGTCACAGAGATATCCCTGCCTCTGTCTCCTGAGTGCTGGGACTCAAGGCGCTACCACACCCAGCTAAAAGTAGCCTTTCTAACCATTAGGCAGAAAGGTAGATGATTCAAAATATGCTGTTAAAATAACCAGACAAGAGTCAAGTGTGGTGACTCAAGCCTGTAATTTCAGCAATTGACAGGGGTGGAATTTTTAAGTTGAGACTATATAGTGAGTTCCAGGCTAGCCTGTCCCCCTAAAATAAAATTAAAAACCAGGACTGGGACTACAGCTTAGTGGTAGAATGCCTGTCTAGGTTCCTTCCTCAACACTGAGTAATCAAACCAACCAAAAACTGAATGCTGAGGATGCACTACAGTGGTAAACTTAGAATGCATCAGGCCTCAGAGCCAGAGACATGGCTCTGCAGGTAAGGGTGCTTGCCACCAAGTCTGAGTTCAGTCCCCAGAACCCACATAGTACAAGGAAAGAACCAACTCCTCCAACTGTCCTCTGACTCCCACATGTGTGATGTGGCACACATATACGTCTATACACACACACACACACACACACACACACACACACACTAAAAAATGTGTCAGATCCCAAGTTTGATACCCAGCACCAGATACAAAGAATAGTAATTGAGACAGGTCTGGTGGTGCAAGCCTTTAATCCCAGCATTCTGGAGGCAGAGGTAGGCGGATCTCTGTGAGACTGAGGCCAGCCTGATCTACATAGTAAATTCCAGGTCATCTGGAGCTACAGGAAGACTCCGACTCAAAACAAAAAGAGAAACTGGATGTCCACCTAAGGAAATCAAGAATTTCTACTTTGTGTCTTCATATCTTACAAACAGGTAAATTCCAGGGCTGGAGAGATGGCTCAGCGGTTAAGAGCGCCGACTGCTCCTGCAGAGGACCAAGGTTCGATTCCCAGCACCCACATGGCAGCTATGAACCATCTTTAACTTCAGTTCCAGGGGAATCCGATGCCCTCTTCTGACCTCTGTGGCACTGCATGATAAGGTGCACTACATACATGTAGGCTCATATACTCATACACATAAAATAAAAATAATCAATAAAATATTAAAAAAAAGAAAGGTAAAATTCCAAATGCTACAAAGATTAAGTTAAAAATTCATTCCAAGTATTGGGAAAAATATTTTATAAACTATAATCTTCAAACTGGGAAATCTTTTTTAAACAATTTATTCTTTGACAATGTCTTATCTGTGTACAATATGTTTTGGTCAGACTCACCCTCCGTTACTTTCTCTTGTCCCCCTTGCACCCCCTTCATTGATGACTTTTTCTTCCCAACAAGTCTCCCTTCTATTTTCATATTAAAAAAAATTTTTTTACACTTATTGGTCTGCGTGTGTGTTTGTGTGTATGTATGTGGGTCTGAATGTGCCACAGCACATGTGGATCAGAGGACAACTCGCAAAAGTCCGTTTTCTCCTTCTACCATGGGGATTCTGGGGACTGAACTCAGGTTGTCAGGCTTAGTGGCAAATGCCTTTACCCACTAAGTTATTTCATCAGACCTTCCCCTACCCCGTTTTCCCTTTTTTTTGAGACAGGGTTTCATTATATAGACCAGGTAGCCTGAAATTTGCTATGTAGATCAGTCTGGTGGTGAGCTCAGGGAGATCCATCGGCCTCTGCACACTCGCCCAATTGCTAGGATTAAAGGATTTGGAGGGGAAGGCCACCATGCTTGGTTTCACAAGCCTTTTCTATTTTTTAATTTTTATGTCTTTTTGTAGACATAAGTAAAATTTTACCAAAAAATAAGAAAACAAAACCAAAACACCCCACAAATTTCTACATGGCAAAAGCCATGAAAGGTAAAAAACCAAACTCAGAGGAAGCTACCCACAGTGCTTCTGATTACAGCTACCCAGAAGGCTGAGGCAGAGGATTATGAGTTTGAGAACAGCTTGGGCATATGAAAAAGTCTTCATCCCCAAAAGAAGGACAAAATCTCAGAGAAAAACCCTACAGTAGGTAAATACCCTCATTAAATAAAATGCCTTAAGTTATGAAGAACCACAACTGGTGTGGTGGTGCTCACCTGTAATCCTAGCACGTGGGCAGTGAGACAGGAGGGTCAAGAGCTCAAGGCCAACCTTTACTACACAGTGAGTTGGAGAAAGGAGATGATACAGATGGTAATACAAACTCTTCAGTCTCTTTGTAGGGGCATTCAGCCATATCAGTGAAAACTCAGAATGCACCCTTTTCCAAGCAATTCTGCATTCGGGGTTAGTTATCTAAGAATACTCACAGAAGGGCAAAATGATGTAATACAGTGAACTGCTTCATCTTCCATCAATAGGAAATTATTAGCCCAGTTTATATATACACACACCACACAACCCCACACCACACACATCATATACATAAGACACATACACTACACTCAACACCCCAACACACCCAACATCCATACACCACCCCAACACACCCAACATCCATACACAACACAGAAATCACATACATAACACCTGTATACCACAAATACCACATATATCACACCTAGACAACACCTATATAACACACAACAAAGACACACACTATACATACAAAAACATACCAATCACACACAACACGTATCACATATACAATACCCATACACCATACACATGCATCACAAATGCCACACACACACAACACCCATACAACACACACCACACATACGTCACATGCACAATACCTGTACACAATACACCTAATACCCATACGACACACACATAACACATGTACCACACACACAACACCCATACACCACACACCAACACACAGACACTTTATACACACAACATACACAAACACACACACAGACACAACACACATAACACACAATTCAACACACACTACACAATAAACACACACAACATATACACAGTAGATCAGAAAAACCTTAGAGGCCTGGTGAAGTTAAATATGGTGCAATTTAATATTCTGAAAGAATATTCTGAAAGTTAAAAAAGAATGAATCTTGGCCGGGTATAGTGGTGCATGCCTGTAGTTCCAGCACTTGGGAGGCAGAGGCAGGCAGATCTCTGTGAGCACACTGGAAGAGACTGAGGCAGAAGGATGACTAGTTCAAGGGCAGTCTGGGCTAAATATATAAGACCTTATCTCAAAAAAAGTTTCCTCTCTTCCAAAGTTGTTTCCCATTTAAGTTTTATTCATTTGTTATCACTATGTGTGTGTTTTAATATTTTATTATTTTTTACTTTTTGTGTACGAGTGTATTGCCTACATGTATGTAAGTGCACCCATGGAGGTCAGAAGAGGGTGTCAGATCCCCTGGAACTGATGTTACAGATGGTTGTTAGCCATCATGTGGGTGTGGGGAATCGAACCTGGGTGCCCTGCAGGAGCAGCCAGTGCTCTTAACTGCTGGGCCATCTCTCCAACCCCTATTGTACGTTTTTAGAGATACTTTCTAATGAGCCTACATCATAATTATAGATTCATTCTTTTTTGTTTTGGTTTGGTTTGGTATTTGAAACAGGATCTCCCTGTAGCCCCAGCTGGCCTGGAACTCACTATATAGACCAGGCTGGCTTTGAATTCAGAGAGATCCACCTGCCTCTACCTCCCAAGTGTAAGGACTAAAGGTGTGCATCACCATACCTGGCTAGGAAGCTTATTTCTTAAAATAGAAAAGTAAATTAGAAGGGGCTGGCTAGATGGCTCAGTGCGTAAAGTTAAAGGCATGTGTCATCAAGTCTGATGAGTTCAATTTCTGGGACTCCCATGGCAGAAGGACAGAACTCCAGCAAGTAGTCCTCTGACCTCCACACCAGTGCTGTGGCACATATGTGTGTACACACACTCAAATAAATAAATGTAATAAAAAGTTAAAAGAAGAAAATTAGCTGACATGGTGATAAACACCTATAACTGCAACATTCAAGAGGCAGAAGAAGGAGGGTCAAAAGTTCCAGCATAGTTTACACTATAAAATGAGCTGATCTGAACTTGCTATGGAGACCAAATTAGCCTCAATTTCATAGCAATACACCTGCCTCTGCTCTGCCTCTGCTCTCTGAATGCTGAGGTTAAAGGCATGGGACATCACACCTGGCCTGGAATGTGTTCTTAATTTGCAAAGGACCTTGTTCAGTCCACAGCACCAACATAGAAGCAAACAAACAAAAAACCACTGGACCAGTATATTTAATTTAGACAGACCTTAAATGTGGAAAAAATGGTCTCAGGAAGAAGAGACCAAGACTTAGTTTAAACAATGAAAGCTGCACCTGTCTAGAATGGGAGCATGCTAATTGGTTTATTGTTTCTGCTCCCCATCCGACCAGTTCCAAGTAAAGGCATTTCAAATTAGCTTTAGGAAGAATCAACTGTTGGCCTAACTTTGACTTTGAAAGAAAAGGATCACAGTCAATTCATAATCTGCTACTTGTAAGTCAAAACACAGTTAATACGACAAACAAAATTAAAACAGCAGCTGAACAGAACTTTTCAAATTAAAAGTGCTTTTTCCCTCCTCTTAATAGAAACAAGCAGCTGACTGACTTATTTTGGTATTAGAGTATGAATTAGTCTTTAAGGATGGCTAAGGAGATGCTTCCTCTTAGAAACTGCATCTATGTACTCACCAAGGTAATAGATCCTGTCTGAGTGAGGCCCATCTGAATCAGTCCTCTTCACAAACATAAAGTCATGCGGTGCCTTAGCCATCATATAACCATGGTATTTTCTGGTATCTGCAAGCAGCTTTTTCAACTGACTCCAAGAATACCGTTCAACATAAAACGGCTCCAATTTAGGCCGGTCCTGTGATTCCACAGTCTCTTCATCACACTCTGCAGTTTCAAATATCTCAACACCCAGCTGTTCTGTTTCCATTGCTGCTGCCATGTTGCATTTTCCTGGAAAAACAAGGCACAAGAAGCTGTTCAATGGGCTGTCTTCTATTATATTATCAGAATGACAGTCCTACAGGGCCAAGAAAGAAAAAAAGAAAAAAGGCCTTTCAACACAGCTGCAGTGAAACCTAATAAGAAAAGCAACAGCTCCCCCTTCTCTGTGCTCAGCTTTGAAATGAGATTTTTAAAAATTGAGGTCATGTCAATTTCACAGTGACTATAAATCCCTTTGGGAACTTTTATAAAAGGCTCTCCTTGGGTATCTCCTGCCAAAATTCCTTTTTCTTTCCCACACTGGAAGGAAACAGGCCATATGCCAGCTGGCTGCTACACTTCACCCCAGAGCATGTCAATAGTGGAGCTAAATGTGCCAAGGAAGTTAAGTGGTTTTGCATTTTAAAAAGTAACACTTTTGATAAAAGGAGATTTCTTTGACTAACAGAAATGTAACAAATTAGAATAGCAATAACATTGTTACAATGTACTTGTAATAGTTTACCTGGGGCAGTTACCCAAGAAAATACATTGTTTCCTTTCCCACGGAATTCCAAAGAGTTAAATGCTTAACTGGCTGGTACATTTTTTAATCTTCAGCTTGTCACTACCTTATACTTGTGGCACTCAATGTTTTATGGACACTTACATGATTTACTTATACACTGTTCAAATGAGGGAAAGATATTATCTTTAAGTGGCATTTAATTAGTTGAAGTAGTTAAGGATTAAAGCATTTAGTGTGAACATCAATATTTTAGTTGCCTAATCAACTAATAGTATTTATTTCACAAAATCAGAAGATGCTTTTTCCCCCTTGATCTTTTCCAGTACTGAAATCTAAGACAAGTATCATAAAACATTTGTAGAGATGCAGCTCAGTGGTGTGGGTTCAAGCTCAGTTCTACAAGTTTTTTAAAGAGAGATCCTCCAACATTCATTATTCAAATATCAAAATAAGCAACACATGGCCTTGAGAGATAAACCAAATAATCATTAACTACTTCCAGATCAATAAAGGTGTATTGTGTATTTAAGATGATTTTTTTTTTTTAGCCCAGCTTTGCAGGTTAACACCAATTCATTCTAAGAAGTATCCTTGACATAGAAAGTTACCAGCAGGTGTAGGGCTATGACTTAGTCCACCACCCCCTTGCATACTGGCATTCAAACACACTGAACTGCATTGTCCAGGACATTGTGTCATTTTTCTTGCTACACTGCCATACTATCACTCCTAATGTACCAATAGCAAAGCTGTCAGAATACTGTTACATGGCTATACTTGTAACACCATTACCATCAAGCATCTGACTCCACTAATTAAAATCCAAAGTGCCTCAGGAGAATTACATCATTTAGCTCAACTGGGATGCACAATATCAAATGGCAGTATAGTGGTGGTTGCTGGCCCACTGAAGGCTAAGGGAAGCCTACTTTCAGTCAAATATGTAAAGGACCTAGTTTTATATCTAATAGAGAGGCAATCTATACAAATCAGGCTCATTTCTCCTGTGATTAATATGGAATTCAATCTCTAATCCATGGCTTACAAATCTAAGGACCAGAAGAAAGGAGTTCAGTACAAAGACTTCCTGAGCATTACTGCCCAGCCTGAATCATAATTTTAGAATTCTTCTCTGTAAAAGCCCACATTTGCTTATATTTAAGTAAAATTACTAGAAATTCTGAATTGTGATAGGACTCTGCACTATTTTTGTCTCTATACACACGCACACACACAGAGTCTCATATACAGTTCAAATGACATTCTGCCACTTTCACAGTAAATGTTTATTCTGCCTTTTCTAAAATTGATACTGTGCAATTTATGCAAATGTGCAACTAATTTCCAGGATTCCTTGCTACATTCTTGGAATATGTGGCCTGAATTTTCATATCCATTCTCAGCAGGGAACATGTATTTCATTGCCACACCCACCTCTTCACTTATGGACCGTCCCTGGTGCCTACCTGATTTTATTTTCATCTGCTCAGATCTCTTCCACTTTCAAAGAGATCATTTTCAACTGGCCCAACTTTAAACACAGATTTCTCCACTCATCCTGATCACTTCTCAGAGGAATCTTTTCTTTTCTCACCATCCAATCCTGCTCACCAGATAAGAAATTGATTAAAATGGACCACATATGATCAAAAAAGGTTAAGTCTAAAAGCCCCCAATTGGTACTTAAAACTGATAGATTTCTTCTTGGTGTAATATGGAATCCCTGAATCATTCCGTATCTTCAATTTATAAAATCGTGTGTGTGTATTGGGGGGGAGGTCTTATGTGTCCTAGGAAAGTCTCCAACTCTCAGTCCTCTGGTCTCAGTTTCTTGAGTGCTGGGATAATAGACCTGTGCCAGAGTCCAGTCCTAAAATTATTTTCTCTGAAATGTGTAGCTCAATTTATTCAGGAACATTCCAAGTGTAAATTTTGATGCCCAGGCTCATTAAAAGAGAACTATGGAAAGGTTTTAAAGTTACAAAAAAGGGTCCTTGGAGAGATGGCTCAGTGGTTAAAAGCACTTACTGCTGCTCTTGCAGAGGCCCTGAGTTCAGTTCCCAGCATTCAAGTCCAGTGCCTATAACCCCAATTCCAGGGGGATCCATGCCCTGTGGCTTATGTGGGCACCAACATATATCCACAATTTAAAATGTTTTTTTTTTGTTGTTGTTACAAAAGGAATACAAATGTGAGGCGTCAACTGTAAAGACCCAAAATTGGCTCAGCATGTAAAAAACGTTTGAGACACAAGCCTGGAACTCACATAAAAAGCCAGGAATGTAGTGGTGCACATGCAATTCCAGCACGCCTAAGACGTGGGAGGCCAAGAGGTGAACTGGCCCAAAGCTCAAAGCTTGAGGGTCAGAGAGCCTGGAATATTTAGCACAACAAGAGTGACTCTCCCTCAAGATGAAAGGTAAGAACTGACTCCAGAAAGTTATCTTCTGACCTCCACAGGATGGCCATGACATGTGCATGCCAGGACACACACACACACACACACACACAAATATAATTTATTCCTGAGCCTATTTCTGTTCCTTTTACATGTCATATCGAGTTAGTGAGAGAATGAATTCAGTCCAATAAACCGAGACTTACAGGACTTCTTTGCAGAAAGGGAACTTGAATTTAGTCATTTAAATTGTGTGCTTTTGTCTGTTTTGAGACAGGATCTCACTCTGTAGCCAAGGCTTTCTTGCCTTGACTTCCCAAATGCTGGGATGACAGGGAGGCACCCATACCCAGGAAGGGTTTCTCACAATTATGTCTTATTCAGAGTAAGTGCGTTCTAGTTTTGCTTTTTTCCCTCTTACTACAATACTAAGTGAAATGGGTAACTTTTCTGGAAAAATAATTCCTAAGCTGGTTGAAATTCTAGTTTAGAAAAAGGGAAAAAAGATCAGTGGTTACACCTGATATTTTGTTATGTTTTAATTCTGGGCTGTCTTAGCCCACCGTAGTGATGGAGGAAAATATTATGTGGCCGGAGGATGGGAAACAAGTCCGTTAGCGTGGCAACAGCAGGCTAAGATTCAAGACACCTCCCCACAGAACGAAGTTCCACAGAAGATAATGCCGGGTCAGAAACTAGTTTCTGGATTCTTGGGTTTGAGTTCACTGAAATGGCATCCCATAATTTTGACCTTAAGGGCCAAGCAGTCGTCCAAACTCTCCATGCCTCACTGAAGCCTAGCTATTACACACTCGAGTCTACAGCTGAGAAAGCTGTCAGAGAGGCAAAGGTCTTGAAAGCTACGAATGAGGAAGGAGAGGTGTGGCAGGGAATGTGGAGGGAGGGCCGGAAGACTTAAAGGGGATGAGTAGGATGAACAGGAAGGTAAAGGATCCTGCTGCAGAAGGGCGAAACAGAATGGCAGGGGAACAGCGGAGGGGATGGATGCAGAGTAAAGCGGAAAGAACACCAGCTGGGGAAGCACAAAGTCAGATCCGAATCCCATCTGCCACTGGCGGACCTCAGGCGAATCCCTTCGCCTCGGCGGGCTTCCGTTTCCTCCTCTGTAAGCCCGGATAGTACCCGGCATCCCAACCCCAGCGAGGCACAATTAAGATAACGGACGTGGACGTCCGGCAGGGCGGCAGCTAGCGCTCAGGGGGCGCCCCGCGAACGTTGGAGGCCTCGGAATCCGAGTCTGCGCTTCCTCTTCCGGCCAGGGGGCCGCGGTTACCCGCTCGGCCCCGTACAGGCCCGCAGGAGAGGCGGGTGGCGGCCGGGCCGGGGCGCAGCGGCCAGGCCTCGCGGCGCAGGGGATGGAAGCGGGCGGATACTGCACCTTCCCCCCGGGCCTGCCCGGACCGTCCCGACGTGCGCTACGGAGCGGGCCTGCGCCGCTTCATGCCGCGGCCGCCTCCACTCCCGTCGGGGCAACAGCAGCTTCCTCGGCGGCGACGCCGGCGGCAAACACTGGAGGCAGACGAGGGGCTTAAAGGCGGCGGCGGCGGCGGCGGCGGCGGAGAGGACTGCGGAGGCCTCGGCACTTCCGGTTCCTCGACCTCACCCCCCCCCCCCTGCCCCCCTCCGACTAGGGAAGGTGAGCAGCCGGGCAAAGAAAGATGCCGCCTGCTGTTGCGCGCGATCCACCCCCGCAGTGCCCCCTAGCGGCGGGCGGAACGAAGGAGGCCCTGGAAATAGAAGGAAAACAGAAGGGGAATCTCCAAGCATTCGCTCTCCCGCCCCAACTCAACATATTTATAACGAGTGCTTACTCAAAGTAGATAAAAATCTGTGTTCATGGGCTGGAGAAACGGTTCAACAGCTGAAGGCCCTTGCGGCCAAGCCTGACAACATGAGTTCGATCCCTGGGACCCGTAGGGAAAAAGAAAACCAACTCCCTCAGTTTTGTCCTCTGAATTCCATATAGGTTCGGGTGTTTGTACACACACACACACACATTCAATCAGTCAATGAGATAATAAACCCTGCTAGTCAGCAGCAATAGAGAAATTACAACAGGAAGAAAATGGGAGTTAAAAAAAAAAAATCCCGCCGGGCGTGGTGGCGCACGCCTTTACTCCCAGCACTCAGGAGGCAGAGGCTGGAGGATCTCTGAGTTCAAGGCCATCCTGGTCTACATAGTGAGTTCCAGGACAGCTAGACCTGCAGGGAGATCCTGTCTCAAAAAAATAGACCAGAAAAAAAAAAAAAATCCTTGCCCTTTTGAGATGATGAGACAGAAAGTATTAAGGCTTTGGAGACCTGAGCATCACATAGTTGTGGTGGAAAAAACCTCAGTGTGGATGCAAAAATGTGTCTCTAATATTAATGATCTTCGTAGGCCACTGAATCTCTTCAGGCTAGGGTGCCTCTATTGGTATATAGTATATAACAATGTATCACTTAGTTGCAATGAAAGAAAACAATGTCTATCACACTAACAGATAAAAATGAAGAAACAACGGGCTGGAGAGATGGATCAGCGTCAAGAGCACAGGTTTTTCTTTCAGAGAACCCAAGTTTGTTTCGTAGCATTCACATGGCAGCTAACAACTGTTTGTATCTCCAGTTCCAGGGGATCCAGTGCCCTCTTTTGGCCTCCCTGGGTTTGCAGGCATGTGATACACTTACATACATGCAGGCAAAGCACTCATACACATAAACACTTTTTTTTTTTTTACAAATTTTGAAAAATTATTTTTATTTTATGTGTATGAGTGTATTGCCTGCATGTATGTAAATGCACCTGTGTTGTGCAGTGCCCTTAGAGGTCAGAAGAAGGTGGTAGGATCCCCTGAAAATGGAGTTGTAGACAGTTGTTATCTACTATGTGGCTGCTAGAACCGAACCTGGGTCCTCTGCAAGAGCAGTCAGTGCTCTTAACCATTGAGCCATCTCTCCAACCCCATAAATAAATATTTTTAAGTGAATAAGGCCCCAGGATGACTTGTGATAATCAGAGATAAATCCCTTGATTTCTTTCCTAACCTACACTATACATTGGCTAAGAGAGAGAAAAAAAAAGTGTAAGGAGATAGCTGGGAAAGTAATGGGTGCAGGAAAAAAAAAACTTGAAAATAGGCCTCATTTTCTGTTATTACTGTGTGTTGGAGTTGCTGTCATTAGGATTTATTATAATGGCACTAATAAAGCCACTGGGTACCATGTTCCTCTGCACAGTGTGTACTCTGAGGTTAAATAAGTCTGCCCTCGGGTTTTTTGAGGTTGAGCTCTCTTAATCATTTTCTGTAAGTATTCTCTATGAATTTTCTGCCCATGACCTGAGAGCAGGTTTTAAGACTTCAAATGCACACACACTATCAAAATACAATGAAAAAATGTCTTACATGTCTTTCATTGTGCCAACACTGTTCTCAGACCTGAGGCTACAAACAGTAAGCAAAAAGGACAAAATCCCTGCACTTTTATGCAGTTTACACCCTCATAATGAGTATAGGGGGCGCGCGCTGGGCGCCCGGGGTCCCTGCGCGCACTCTCGGGATGGCACGGTGGGTCCGCAGGCTTCTCCACCGTGCACCTGGAGGAAGGTGGGTCTGGCCCTGCGGGCTTCTCCGTGTCTCTATGGGCCTCAGGCGTGGGGTGCGCGAGTATCTCGGGGTCCCCGCCACACCTGGCCAGTCGCAGCAGGGCTCTGGCCACAGGCGTCTCTGGGAGCTGCAGCAGATAGGTCGCTGTCCGCCGCTCCGGTGCTGACAGTCTCTCTGCTACTGGAGCGTTGTCCAGTCGAATCCTGTCCCTATTTCACCCGTGTACTTTCCTCAGGGTGCGAGGTCCACTGGCCACTGAACCCCACGGGAAGAGTAGGAGGACAGTGAAAGCTAGGATGTCCGTAAGTCGGTCACGGGGGAGTGCGCCCCCCCGGAGAGGCTAGGTTGCCGGTAGTAAGGCACAGGACTCAAGACTCGGCTTAGTCTGTGTTACAGCTTTATTAAGTGTCTCTGCTCTCAGTAATTCAGCAGCTCTGCGACCCAACTCTCTCTCTATTAAGAGAAAACTAGGATACTTATACCATGGGGGTAGTGGTAGAAGCTTTGGCTGTTAGATGCTTTGTGAGGCATTCTATTTACATATGGAAGTGGGTTTCTGCCAGACTGCTGTCTGCCTGGAAAAATCACACAGGAAAGCATGGTACCTTTCAGAGCCAAAGGCCATGTTTATGCTAGAGCATTTGTGGCGGGCACTTCAAAAGGAGAGTCAGGAAAGATGCCAGGAAGGCACCCTGCTATGAAAGGACCCCTCAGGACATGATCCCGAGCTGCATGAGCTGTCCGGTAGTGAAGGGACTTCTACTTTGCATAACAGAGGTCCCCAACAATGAGTTAGAAGCCAGGCTTGGTGATGCAGGCTGGTAATCCCAGTATTCAGGCAGCTGAGGTAGGAGGATTGCATGTTCAAGGCCTCTCTGGGAAAATTAGTGAGATCCTGTCTCAGAAAGGAAAAACAAGGACAAAGAGTGTGTTATGGGAAAATCAGAGTCCAGCAGCCAAAGTCAGGTGAGGAGAGGGATTTAATTTTATGCTAGCGGACTTCTGTAAAGGAGCCAGTCCCCCCTCCAGTTTTAGGGGTTTTATATTCATGTGAGGAAGTACAAGTAAAAGACAAAGCAGCACATAGGTGGCAATTAAGTAAAAGATACATGTGATCACTAAGCAAGGTAACATGGCAGCAGGGGTTACAAAGACTTCCTTCCAGACTCCAGCTTATCTCCCCAGTCTTATCTCTTGTCCAAGAGCTCTTCCTGCTCTAGAGTTCTTAATTACCGTCTACATTGCAAAAGCTTTCCACCTCCACAATAAGTGCTTGTCTGATGTGTAAGGCCCTGGGCTCAAGAGAAAAGTCAAACTTCTGTAATTTTGCTGTGTGTGGTAGCACAAGCCTTTAATTCCAGCACTCAGGAGAAGTAGAAGCAGAGGTAGGCAGATCTCTTTGAGATTGAGGCTACCCTGTTCTACATAAAGTAATTTCATGGATTAAAAAAAGAGGGGCTGGAGAGATGGCTCAGTGGTTAAGTGCACTGACTGCTCTTGCAGAGGACCTGGGTTCGATTCCCAGCACCCACATGGCAGCTACAAACTGTCCTTAACTCCAGTTCCAGGGGAATCCGAAGCCCTCTTCTGACCTCCGTGGCATTGCATGACATGGGTGCACTTACATACATACAGGTGATATACTCATACACATAAAATTTAAAAAATTAAAAAAAAAAAAGAGCAAAGGGTATGGGGGCTCTGGCCTGTAATGCTAACATTCAGGATGTAGAGACCAGGAACATTGCCACAAGATCAAAGCTAGTCTGATCTACATATAAGTTCCAGGCCAGGCTAGGCTACAGAGTGAGACTGACTCAAAACAAAGCAAAACGAGGGGCTGGAGAGATGGCTTAATGGTTAAGAACACTGGCTGTTCTTGCAGAAGACCAGGGTTCGAATCCAAGCACCCACATGGCAGCTAACAACTGTCCGTAACTCCAGTTCCAGGGGATCCGACAGCCTCTTCTGATATCTGCGGGCATTGCATGACATGGGTGCACTTACCTACATGCATGCAATACACGCATACACATAAAATAAAAATAATAAAAACAAAACAAAAATCAGAGAGTTCCATGGAACTGTGGAAGTTAAGAACCTGCTTAAGCTACAAGGTTGATTAAGGGCTGATAGAGATTTAAATTCACAGTTCTTGGTTTTCAGTCTAAACCCTTACTTGGCTAGGGATGTAGCTCAAAGGTAGGATGTGGGTAGCTAGCAGTAGGGGTGTGGTGGCTTGCACCTGTAATCTCAGCCTTTAGGAAGTTAGGCAGGAGTTATGAAGTTAGCCTAAGCTATATAGCAACATAGAGACCAGCTTATGCTACCTAGTAAGTTCTAGAACAGATCAGACTTGCCTACAGAATGAGACCCTATCTTAGCCTTCCTTCCCTTCTCCCCAAAAGGTGTTTAACATGTGTGAGGCCCTGGGCTCAATCCCCCAGCTCCGAAACATATAAACAAGCAAATAAACAACCCTCAAACGCTGATAAAGCTGTGGGGCTGTGTCTCTAGCACAGTGCCCTGGTAAAATTGCCTGTCTCCATATAGCCACAGAGGCAAAGTCTCCAGCCAGAGTTTAGCTGGGGCTTAGTGGAGAGGATAGGAAGTTTGTGGGGAGTTGAAAGGTAGACAGAGCTCTCCTTGGGTGCTGCCACAAGACACTGCTCCTCTTTTTCCAGTTCCCTGTGGTGTATATGGCTTTCTGTCTCCCTTGCCAAGATAGATTTGCAAAATGTTAAAAACCCTTAGCACAGTCTATAATTGGCTGCTCAGGGATGGGTGTCCCCTAACACATCTTTTGTTTCATCACTGTCTTTTTTGATGTTGAAGACCAAGAACCACAAGCAACTCACTGGCACCTTTGTGCATCTTTCCTTTATCTGATTGTGGAAGTGATAAACTAAGTCTGTTTCACAGGGCTGGAGAGATGGTTGAACAGTTAAGAGCTCTTGCTAAGGACCAGGATTCAATTCCCAGCATCCACATGGAAGCTCATAACCATTTG